TGAAGTGGAAATGAATCCTGGTAGGGGCCTGTGCAGAGGGAGCTTGGAGGGAGGGTGTATTCCAACATCGTTGTTGAGTCTTGGGTTTACACTGGTCCTCCTCCTCCTCCTCCTCCTCCTCCTCCTCCTTCTGTTCCATCCTCGTCGTTCTCGCGGTGTTCCTCCTCTCCGTTCTCTTTTCTCTCCCCTTTTCGCCCCGACCTCATCCCCGTTTTCGTTGTCCTTCCTCCGCCTTCCCATTCTCCTCGTCTTCCTGATCCTCCCCTTCCCTCCCTGCGTACTCCTGCTTTCTCCCGACCCTGACCTGGCACTTTGCATGGTTGGTGGTTGCTCTCGCCGCGCGTGAAATAGGAGGAAACCTCCAACTCCTCCTCCTTCTCCTCCTCCTCCTCCCCTTCCTTTCTCTCCTCTCGGTTCCTCTATCTTCACATGGCTTGAGCCTTGAGGGGTGGCCGTGGGGACGGTGAGTACCCTTCACTCGACAACTTCAACTTTCGACGCCCTGAATGGGTTAGGAAAAGATGGGTACGATGCCCAATGACAATTGTGGTTCAAAACCGACAGCGGCCGCTGTTGGGCAAGCGGCCTTCTGTCTCACATGGACAGAACCCGCGGCGACGCCGACGAGGAAGCCGGGTCAAAATGGACAATAACTGCTTTCCGACCCATTGTTCTCCGGACCCTTTTCTATCCTGCTGTTTCCGAACTGCTTTGCGAAGTGCGTTCCGAACTGTTTCCGAACTGCTTTCCGAAGACAAAATTAACTGCTCTTGGTCTTTCCGAAGAAGCTCCGAGGGCGAGGAGGCAGGACGAGCAGGGAAGACGAGAGGCGCGAAGGCACTCTTGCGCGCACACGCACAGGCAGGTCCGGCACAAGACCGTGGACTGGCCCCGCGCAGAGGGGAGTATGGGGGGAGGGGGGAAGGCTTCCAGGAAGCAGGCTGCTTACTTCTTAGATGGTGCGGGCCTTACATGAAGGGGTCCTCAGGGACACACAAACCAATACACGCAAATCCAAGGATCCAACATATTTTCTGATATTTTCTGGGTTTTCGTCGTCCCCCCCAATTTCCATTTTTTCTACTATTTTCCTGGGAGTCGACGGTTAATTGTGCATGTGTTCTTGTACCTCTGGACTACATCTATGGGCAGGGCCCGCGTCTTCTAAGAAGCAGCCTCCTTCCAAGAAGCCTTCCACCCTCCCCCCCCCCCCCACCACCCCTCTGCGCGTGGCCGCGCCGAGAGGGGGTCGTGCACCAAATGGGCACCCCCACAGGCACACGGTCTCTGCTCGGGGGGGCACAAAGCCGGGGAGACGTAAGACTCGGGTACGGGGGACTCAGGTTAGCCTGACGGGGGCCATCATAAAAATGACGAGACCCAATCTGAAATTTGACGCGGGCTCCCGCTGCAGACATCCCACGAAACCGGGACCGCCAAAATCCAGGACGCGCTCGTCAAAAAAAAATCGGCCAACCCGAGTTCCGGCTTACTCGAGTCTTACGTTTCTCCGACAAGGTGGGGTTGGTGGGGCATCCAGCCGGGCCCGTCCCCCAGCCTAGAACATATCCCTATCCCTATGCTGGGCACCTCCTCATCACGATGCCAATCTTAGGGATTCCCTGAAGGCGAATCCCTAAGATTGTCATCGCCTTTTGGCGTGTCAATCTTAAGGATAAGGATGCGTTCGAGGCTGGTAAAACAAGGCAATTGTTTACCGGCTCCGTTTTGCAATTTTTGTTGCTGGTTCCGACGCCGTTGTTCTACCGGTTCCGTCGCCGTTTTTTGACCGGTTCCGGCTCCGGTTCCAATCCTGGAGCCGTTTTGTTGCCGTTTCCAGTCGCCGTTTCTTTGCCGTTTCCATTTTCCAGGGGCATTTTTGGGAAACGGAAAAAAAACGGCCCTGCCATTTCCGGGGCCCACAAAAGCCCAGCCCCACTTTGGGAGAACCCTCCCTCTACGATTACGTCGGGCCTGTCCCCCCACAGAGGCATTTTGGAGGAAAAATAAAACATACCAGACAACTGCCCCCAAAATGTCAAAAAATACTTCCAAAAGAGTCCCCAGACTATTTTTTTAGTATTTCTTTTAATATGTTTGGGGTATTTCTAATTTTTCGTCGAAAATCCCCCTGTAGGGGGACAGGCCCGACTTAACTCTACGAACCCCCGATCTGCACACCACCCCGACGAACGCCATACATTTCCCCGCGCCTCCGCGCGTCGGCCGTCGCCGCCGCTGCGTCTGCCCGTGCAGGACTGGGACATGGGCGCGGCGCGGGCGCAGACTTCGGAGCCTTCGGGGACAGAGGGGGAGGAGGAAGAGGATCAGTTGAGCAGGGACCGACCGTCCCGGCATTCCTATAGTCCTACCACGAAATGTTCTCAGAACCCAGACATGTTCTGAGAACAAAAACAGTGTTCTTAGGACATAAGCCCGATGTGATCAAGCAAGACAGACTCCGCCTGAAAGGTTCTAAGAACATCTCGTGAAAACCACAAAAGGTTCTTAGAACAGTGTTTGGTGGGGCTATAGGCGAGCCAGGGCGCTTCGCCACTGCTTGAATCAGGGAAGGCCTGCGCCCTCCGCACTCCGCCCGAGCATCGAGCGACCTCCCCGACCGCCGGCCCGAGAAGAGCCCATCTGAAGGGGCCCTGGGACACACAAAGAAATACACACAAATGACAGGATTCCCCCATGCTTTCCTGTATCTTCTGGGTTTTTGTCTTCCCCCCACTTCCCATATTTCCATATATTTTCCTGGGGACCGACGATTTATCGTGTCTGTGTGCTCTTTCCTCTCCTGACCATCGGCGAGCCGCACACCGGGCGAGCGCGCTGCCGACGGCCGAAGCCGCCGCCGCGGCGCGGGCACCGCGTCGACCGACCCGCCCGCGAGAGGCGGCGTCACGAAAACCGACGGCAACATCGCAGCGCGCGCGCGCGCGGCGTCGCGCCGCACGAGGCGGGCGCCAAGGGCGGCCCCAAGGGGGGCCTGCTGGGGCTCGAGTTGAACAGGGTGTTCCGTCTTCGTTTTGTTTTCGTCATCCCCAGTTTTGCCTTCGTTCCACACTTGCTGCAAAACGAAGGCAAAACGAAAACGGTCCACGAAATTGCCAAAACACCGTTTCGCTCGAGCCCTGAAGGAGGCCCGCCGGAGCGAGGAGGGCGCCCCGCAGGACTGGAGCAGCGGCTCCAGCAGTGGGAGCGACTCCTGGGACGAGGGCGGCCCTGGGAGGGGCGGCTCCAGCTGGAGCAAAAGGGTCAAGCGCTTGTGGTCCAGGTGGGACGGGCGGAAGCCGAAGACGCCGCCGCGCCCGGCGAAGCGAAACTGGAGCCCTTGACCTCACCCGCCCGCGTCACTTTTCGAGCCGGACCGGTTCGTGGGGGTCCCGGGGAAAGAACAGAAGGCAAAACTCGTCCGTTGTGAAACAATTGCGACGCCAGGATCTCGGGGTGAGCCCTCGAAGCTGAGCTGAGAGGCGAACGGCAAGCGGAAGCTGCCTTGTGAGGCGTGCGGCACAGGTTGAGGCCATGAGAGGGCTGCATGCCGCTTTCGGAAGTCGACTTCGACTCCCAACTCATTCGCTTGCGTATGGGGGTCAGACTTCTGGGGGTCAGAGTCATCCAAGGGCAAACTAAGGAACATTGATTTCCTGGGCAAAATACCAGCTTGGGCCAAGTACTTTCATATACATTGCCCAAGAGCAAGCAAGGAAAACATCGGTTTCGATAAAAAGTACAACCCCTAATAAGAATAATCGGCGGGATTTAGCTCAGAACTTCCTGACCCCCAAGAGGCTGACAACTGTTCCTCATCCTCGTCCGCGTCGTCACCCGCCTCCATATTATCCCCCTCCTCCTTTCCGCCTCCTCGTTCTGCTCCTCTTCTTGCCCCTCCTCGTTTTCCTCCTCCTCCTTCTCCTCCTCCTCGTATTTCTTCTCCTCCTCCTCTTCCTCCTCCTCCTCCTCCTCCTCCTCCTCCTCCTAGCAGGCGAAGGAGTAGCGTTCCTGCATGCCGCGGAACTGGCGAGAGCGCGCGGGCCGATCGAGCGGCGCAGGGCGGCTTCTGCAGGGAACTGTGCACTGCAAGAGATGGACAAAAAAGGACTCGGCGGCTGCCGTGGAGAGGAGGCAGGAGGAGGCAGGAAGAGGGGGAGGATGAGGAGGAGGAGAAGGAGGAGGAGTTTTTTTCTCACCAGCGCTGCACTGCCCATAATCAAGCGAGCAAAAAGTTGAATGGCTCCACCTGTACGTGGTCCAATTTGGGATGCTTGCCCTTCAGAAGCTTATTCCAAGCTGAAGCGGCAAAATTGGAAATCGCTCTCTTACGTCTGAACTCAGCA